CATCAGCCTGCCTGTGGGCTCCATGGCTGTGGCATCGAGAGTGTGGGTCAGGCCTGTGGAAGGCTTTCCAAACCTTCACCAAACGATTCAGGACCCTGGCTTGCCGTCAGTCTCAGGGTCTTGTGTCTCCTCCTCGGCTCCCTGTGCGTTTACCAAGCCCCTGCTTCCCCACAGGACACGCGTGCAGCACCCACCCTTTTGTCTTGGAAAGATGTGGTTTGGGATTGAGAAAAATGGAGAACCAACGTCATTCTGGCATAGCCATTCCAGAGAGGATGGGGACACCTGCCACCCTCTAGGGCGGAGCCCCCTTGCCCACCTGCCTGCAGGGGGCGCTGTACAGTCTCCTCTGCCTGAGCTCACAGGTATAAAAACAAAGCTCCACAGGAAGACCAGCCCCTGCTCCCCACCCCACCCCCACTTCAGTGGGACCTGGCCCCCAGGAAAGGGTTGGCCTCGGATCAGGGCTCTGGTGTGTTATTTTTAGAGCCTCCTTCTACCATATTTGCATTTTTAAAAATAGAGTGCTGAGTGCATCCCTCTCCGTCTCAGTCTGCTTCGGAAGGTAGGATGCATTTGCAGGGAGTGTGGCTATTGATTGATACTCGGGGTTGGGCGCATGGACCGGAGGAGCCGCAGATACGCTGGGTGGAGGTGAGGCTGGACATCGAGAGCTGCTGCGGGGAGGGTGGGGGCTCGGCTCTTTGCCAACCAAAGATTAGATCATTTTGAAGACTGTTATTTTGTGAGGGTTCACAGTGGGGAAGCTGAAGAAAGGGGAGCAGGAGCATCTGTAGGCGAGGTCCTGGTGGCCACCTTGCAGGGTTTGGAATAGGCAGTGCCACGCCCTTCTGCCAGGGCGGGTCTTTCTCAGCCTTGGAGTTTTCAGGTGCTGGTAGAGCCAGGTTTTAAGCACCAGCTCATTCCCACCCAGTAACGCAGCTCTAAAAATCAGGTCTTGTGGTCATGGCGTGGGCCCAGGAGCTGTGTTCTACCTGCAAGTCTTAAGGCAGCAACACTGTGTCCCCCAGGTGTCTGCGGGTGCAAGCTGGTGGAATTTGTGCTCTGCTACCTTGACAGCAGCTGGCCTGGGTCACGTCCCTTGCCCCTTGGTCACTGGGGTGCTAAAAGCTGTCCCAGAGCCTGGGCTTTGTTCTTGGCATTTGTCTGCGAACTGGCCTGGATCAGGGCTGGACTACCTGAGCAGAGCCAGTCGAAGTGGGGCCACGTCATTTTGAGGACCTGGTACGTGTGCACCTGTTCAGGCGTGAACCACAGGCGTGTCAGGGATATTGAAGGCAGGACCAGTCAGGCCTGACTTTGTTAGTTACTTAATCCACCATACATCTTGAGCCCCAGAGTTATATCTTTAAAGTTTTCTCAAATTATAAACAAATGCCGATAAGTAGTTGGGGTTCTATTTTGTTCTAGAAGAAAGGGAAACTTACTCTTGTTGAAGTAGAGCAGTTCTAGCCTGGGTGATTGTTGGACTTGCCCAGGAATGTTAAGAAATAGATGTCTGGCTTTATCCAGAGATTCATTCAGTGGGTTGGGGTAAAAATCAGGAATCCACATTTTCAAAGAGATCTGAGGATTCTAATGAATAGCTGCCGTGAAGTCGGGTCCTGTGTGGCTGTCCTGGTATTGGTTGCATTTGTTAGTTGTACTCTGTAGCCATATGCAGTCACACACAGCAAAACACGGTTCCTGTTGACGGGGTCTGCATAGTTATCAGATCTTCTGTGTGATGGCTCCGTACATGTAAAAAACCCAGAAAACCAGAGGCTGAGATTGCATGCACACGAGTCACTTGGAAACCTTGTTAGTGAGTGGAGTCCCAGGCAGCAGGTCCAGGTGGGGCCCGAGAGCCTGCATTTTCCACAGAGCTCTAGGAAGAGGCTGGGCTGCAGGCAGGGTCCCCACTCTGCGAGTCAGCATGGCTCTAATTGTCCCAGAGGTAGCAAGGGTCGTGCTGGAGGGCCACACATGCCAGTGAGGAAGGACAGCTAGCAAAGCCAGGGCTCTGGGTGCTGGAGCCGGTGTGGTCCTGGGCAGGTCTCTTACCTCTCAGACTCCGGCCTCTGTGGAGTGAGAACAGTGGCAATTGTGCCTCCCCCTGGGGGTCAGGAGGCTGGGAAGGGGCCGAGCAGGTGGAGCCCTTCCCCGCGCAGTGTGAGCTCAGTAAAGGTCTGGCCTGTGCTCACCACTGTGGTTGTCATTCTGTAAACTAAGGTGACATCAGACGGTTTGGGGTGGGGTGGAGGTGGGGTCTGGAAGGCAGTGTGAGGCCCTGAGTTCTCCCTGCACATGCATCGTACTGTTGGCCTGCTCCCTGCTGACTCTGGGACTGCAGCAGGGCCACCGGAGCAGAGCATGAAGTCATGCTGTTTACCTTCTGCCTTTCAGTCGCACCTCTTGAGGGAGGGAAGCCTTCTCCTAAAGCTCCCATTCGTCCCCTCCCTTCAAGCCCCTGAGTCCTGGGGGATTTGCTCCTTAAGCCGGGGGACAAAACAAGGGCGCAGTGCTGGGCTCTCTCCACGCCGGCTCTTGCCCCCGGATGCACCAGAACACTGCATCTCAAACACCGAAGCCTCTGCAGAGACCCAGCTCTGCTGGCCTGGCTCTGCTGGCCTGCAGCCAGGCGCAGCTCCCCAGTCCTTCCCGCTTAGCAGGCAGTCAGACTCAGTCCCCTTTCTCCATCCCCTCGGGCAGGAGGTGCCTCCGGGCTACTCCGGCAAGCCAGCAGGCCGCAGCTGCAGTTTCTGGGCAGTGATGCAGTCTTGCTGCATCGCAGGCTTCTGGTCTGCGGTGTGCAGTCAGGGAGGGGTGCTGGGGACAAGACCAGGCCTGTCCCTGGGCTGCACCTGGAGGTTGAGAATACAAAGGCCGGGCCAGCTCTCTCCTGAAGCAGGGGGGTGGGGTCCTACTGCTACATCTTACCTGCATCTGTGTGGACAGTTCCTGTGCAGCCCAGCCTGCCATCCGGAAACAGGAATTTATGTCCCCCTACTCAGCTCTGCAGTGTATTCACACATATCTAAATGGTTTTAGGTATTTTGGGTCCCCCATCTAAACGTAAGTTCTTTAAAACCAAGGCACATTCCTATATATTTATATTCCCGACTCATTCTCATTAGAAAATACTCAGAAACCATTGACTTGATTGGCCTCGGTCTTTAGTTCTAGCGGAGTGTTTGTTGAATGGGTTCTGTGGCACATGACTGACAGAATGTCCTAGTTAGAGACACCGACGCTTGTCTTCTCTCCCACACTGCTCAGCCATCTCCCGCTGCCCTCCCTCTCCCCTAGGCACGGAGGTCCTCTGGCCATTTGTGGATTTGCTGGTAAACCCTTTTGTCCGCAGGTGGGCAGGTTGCCGATTGCTGGGCTATCGGGCACAGCCGCATGATGGGCAGCTGCTCTGAGAAAGTTCTTACATGAGCATACTCGAGAGTCCCTCGCCAGCCATGTCCCCAGATCCAGTTGGGGCTGGGAACTGGGCCTAGGAAGAGGAGCCCACCGTGGGAGCTGTTTCCTGGCACTCCCTGTGTCACTGCTCTGAGATCCAGGTTATTGACATTTTAAGTCACATCAGGAAGAGTAAAAGTTCTCCACCCACAGTGTCTGTGTAAAAATACAGATCCTGGGTCTTTGTTTGCTTGTGTTTTGGCTCCAGAACAGCTTCTGATGAGAAGGGATCCCTGTGCTGGTGAGGTGGCCTGTGCCACTGCCCCACTCACACCAAGAACACAGCCCTCCCCACTCCACACGCCCCTCTCTCCCATCGAATTTCCTGGGGCTGTGACTTCTGGTTTCTAGAGCAACTTGCTTGGAAAGACCTGCAGTTGTGGTTTTTTGAAGTCTAAAATGAGAGTAGAGGTTTGAGATAGGGTGGGACAGCACTGAAAATACCATGTCCCAGACCAGAAGACAGGCATGAGTTACAGGGCAGGATGCTCTTTGACTTAGAAAAGCGGCACCGTCCTACCACCACCCTTGGCAGAGCTCCGCATGGCCCCTCGCAGCCTCCTGGGATCTTTGAGCAGACAGGAGAGCCTGCGCCCAGGGGCAGTGGAATCAGGCAGTGATCACAGCCAGCTTCTGCTGAGCACCTACTGTGTGCCAGGCGCCCTGTGGCCATTTGCTTTCACTGCCTTACTAATCCCCTCAGCCACTCTGAGAGGGCTGCTGTAACCTCGTTTTATACACGTGGACACGCGTGATTTGTCTGAGGTTTCAGATCTAGCACGTCTACATGTCTGGCTCAGGGATCCCCACATTTAACGTGTGGGCTTGGGCTTATCCGGGTCATAGGCTCATGTTCCCGGTTGGAAGATCTTTACTGCTTATTGATGGCAGGGCCCATTGCTCCCCTTTAATTTTCTGTACATCACAGTCTGGTTGTAGCGGAACTGGTTTTAGTCATCGTTGCCAAAATTTTGGTGACCTTGAGCCAATGTCTTCCCTTTTCAGTGTCTCAGTTCTTCCAGGGGTCACCTTTCCATGCCCCAGGGCTTGAGAGTGGAGGGTGTTGTTTGAGGGAACAGCTCATCCACCCCTGTGGTGTGAGGTCTTGCAGGTGCCTGTACAAATGAGGTGGCAGCCACAGAGGCGCACCTGCTACCATGACTCGAAGAACTACAGAGGAGTGGCCCAGGCTGGGGAGCCAGCAAGAAGACTCGCTGGCCTGGTGGAAAACCGTCTCCCATCTGGGCTGCTGGGGGAGAGAGGGGATCCAGTGCCCGGCGAGGGAGGGGGCAGCTCTTCCGAGGCCCTGGCTGTACTCTCGGGAGGGCAGCTGCCGCTGGGTGCTGGTGGAGGGGTGGGTCAGGTGCTGCTGTGCAGTTGGCCGGGCTCCCGAAGCCGGCCGTCCCGAGTTACTCAGCAGAGCAGCCTGCAGGACTCCGCGGCACACAGATAAGGCGCAGGCTGCAGCTGGTCAGGAAAGAGCCCGGATTAGAAGGTGGTGTCAGGTGATAGCCCGCTTCAGGGTGACCCACACAGCCTGGTGTCACGCTTGTCCTCCACTGACTCTACTCCACTCATCGCAGGTCAGAGGGCAGGCACTTGCAGGAAGTAGAGGAAAGATTTCACTCCTGACAAAATGCTTTGCTCTGTGTAGGACGGGCTCTTAAACCTCGACTTTAAATGATGCCTGTGTGATCTGTCACTCAGCCACACTCTGATCCATGTGACCTCCGCCAGCCTCGTGTTTGCCTTTGGTGGGGGGTTAGTGCCTGGAGTTGTCTTGATCTGGGTGCACTGAGGGAGTGCTCCCAGGGTTCATGGAAACTGAGCTCAGCACTTGGCATTTGTGCACTTGGCTATAGTGCGTACCCTTCCCCAGGAAGCTAGGGGAGTGTGTGTCCCGTGGTGACCACGGAGACCTTTTCCTCACACTTGTGTTTTCTTGTCCAGCTGAAGCTAGAGGACCGCTCCGTGGTGCCCCGGGATGTGGTCCGGCACATGCGCTCCACTGTGAGTCCCACGTCCCACTTGTGGCAGGGGTGGCTTGGGGTTGTCTGGGCGGGTCTCCCATGGTGGCTGGCACCAGGTGCCCACTCAGGCCTGGATGCTGTCTCCTCCCAGGACAGCCAGTGTGGCACCGTGATAGACGTCAGCATCGACTGCGCGGTCAAGCTCATCGGCACCAACTGCATCATCTACCCCGTCAACAGCAAGGACCTGCAGCACATCTGGGTGAGCCTCCTTCCACCTCTCGTTTTCTTCTTGCTCTTTGGTTCTCTTCTCAAAACATGAGCTACCCCTTCCCAGGGCAGATGGCCAGGCACAGGGTCCTCCCGCTCCCTTGGAGCCACCTGCCGCTTCCTGCCTGTAAGCCATTCAGACACGAGGTCAGGACTCGCCCTGGGTCTCCATCCCCAGCATAGGCTGCAGGTGTGGTTCTCTGACCCTGTTTCCTTTCTCTTCTAACACTTCTCTTTTTTTTAAAACAAGTTTCTTTTCAATAATTTATTTCTTAAATGATTTCAAACTTCCCTAGAAGTTGTAAGTTCTTGTATCCCCTGCATCACCCAGGCTTCTCGGCTGCTAACATTTCACCCTTTGCTCCATCACTTGCCCCCCCATCTCCTCCTCTCTCCTTAGCCTTTTTTCCCTCAAACACTTGAGAACAAGCTACAGATATGATGCCCTATGGTCCCTAAATACTGCAATGTGTTATTTCCCCAAATCAGGAAATAACCCCATTTCCCCAAATTAGGGAATCGATACTTTACTGTCTGATCCACAGGCCCCATTCAGTTATCTCAGCAGCATCCTTTCCCCGTTCTGGTCCAGAACTCCATTCAGGAGCACACTTTGCATTTAGTGGTCACCTCTTCGATCTCCTCCAGCATGCACTGGTTCCCCAGTCTTGCTTTGTCTTCCATATCCGGGTACACCCATCTCTTGACCCTCAGTATGGAGCTGTCTGAGGCTGCCTCAGGCTCTGCATCCTTGCCAGGACTGCCCCAGAAACGCCACTGAGCTCTTCCCTGGTCGTGTTGGTGTCTGCCATGCCTCCCTACCATAAAGTCACCATTGGCGCCTTTGCAGATAGTTCTGTTTTGTGGGGAGATATTCCAGAATTATATCAATAGCCTGTTACATGTCAACGTCAAACCCCGGCCTGCCAGCCTTAGCCTCCATCAACAACCCACCTGGACCAGCCAGTGCTGATGGTTGCTAAGTGATTTTATGGCTCCACTGTTTGTTCCCTCCTTGTTTTTATCAAGTGATCCCCACTGTGTGGAAGAGCTTTACCTTGCCTGTTTGTTTGTTCATTTGTTGTCTGCATCAGTGTGCACTCAGAGCTTCCCATCTTGCTCAGTTGGGTGTGAGCCATTACCACCATTGTTGGTTTTGTTGCTTAAATGACCCCAGGTTTGGCCAGAGGAGCCCCTTAAGCTGGCATCTGCGACCTTCTGACCATCTCCATCATATGCTTCCTTGGCTCCTCTTTTATTTTCCATCTTGTGTTTCTTCTGATCCAGCCCTGGAATCAGCCATTTCTCCAGGAAGCCCAGGTTCCCTTCAGAGGAGAAACCCAGGTTCCAGAAACCAAGATCTGGGTGTGTGCTGGGTGTGCTAATCGCTGCCAGGCCCTTTCCTGGCAGCTGAGCCATACACACGTGTATACATTTAGACGGGCAGATCTAAGTGTGTCAGCACCTGCTCTGTGTACACTGAGATACGAGTTCGCCCTTGTACCCCCAGTTCCAGTCCAGCGCCTCCGTTCTTCCTCACCCCTCCTGTGCATTAATGAGCGCCTTCCCAACTGCGGGAAACTTGCCTCTTGACGTCCTCAGGATATTTGTTTATTTGCTTAAACCACGTTACTTCCTTGTCCTTGTAACTGACCTCCACAGCCCACTGCACCCAAGAGTCCCATGTCCTTGGATGCCACAGGTCTCTGTGTGACTCTCCCATGATCACACTGGGAAGGAGAGTTAGGTCGCAACTTAGAACCTGGGGGAAGCTGGCTGCAGCAGTTACTTAGGTCCAGTATTATCCAGGCGGAGTCTGGGCAATAAGCTGTCCAGATCTTTCCTCCCCATCTTGGTGGGGCAGAGAGATCTGTACCTTGGACGCTAGTGTCATCTGCCATCTCTTACCCTGTGTCCTGGTCCGCAGCCCTTCATGTACGGGGACTACATCGCGTACGACTGCTGGCTGGGAAAGGTCTACGACTTGAAGAACCAGATCATTCTGAAGCTGTCCAACGGTGCCAGGTATGCTCACCACAGGTTGGGGTTTCTCACGGCCTGCAATGACCAGTGCTGTGGACATTCAGGGCCTGACCCTGAGTGGGCGGGGTCTCATCACTGGAGCCCAGTTCTCTCAGCTTCCAGCCTTTGCCCCATCTTAGCTTGGGAGAGATGCGTGATCACGTAGGATGTCTGCTGGGAGCTGATGCTGTATTTAGACACTCTAATGGTGCTGAGCACTCAGATACCAGGCTAGGGTTTGTTCATTTTAGGAGAGTTATTTGTACCAGCCCAGAGGCTGAGCTGTGGACGGAGAAGGGATTGTGCCACTTTAGGGCATGCGACACACTGACCAGTCGGATAACTCCTGATACTGATCAGCACCACCCTGGTCCTGGCTGCCAGGCCTCCCCAAGACTCGGTCACAGTGCTGCATGGACACCAAGCCCATGTTCACTGTTTTAGGTGCTCCATGAACACGGAAGACGGTGCCAAGCTCTACGACGTCTGCCCACACGTCAGCGACTCAGTACGTTTGGGGGGTAGGGGGCATCTCATGTTCCCTGTTCCTTTAGACTCTGCAGGAAGAGGACTCCTTAGCACAGAGCCGTAGCTGGCCCAGCTAAACGCTGCTTCTGGCCACAGCAGGTTCCTAGAAAAGGGCAGAAAGTATTAGAACTTTTCTTTGTATTTTGTTGATTTTTAACTCATTATTTTAAAATCTCTGTGGGGTTTTTTTTGTTTGTTTTTTTTGAGTATATGCACTGTGTTAGTGCAACATGACATTTTAAACAGTAGTTTACAGCACAATTTTTAAGTAAGTGTACTGGGCATTGCACATGATCAAACAGGTTTGCAGACCACTGCCCTCTAGAGCCTTGGTCCTCAAAGTGTCTTTCCTGAACAACAACATTGGTGTGGCCTGAGCTCATTAGAAATGGAATGAGTCAAGTGTGCATTTTAGTAAGATTCCTTAGGTTTGAGAGGTGCTGCTCTGGAGCTTCAGGGTTTATTTTAGGGAGTGTGGAGGCCTGCGTTGGGGGGCAGGCGAGGAGTGGGATTGAGGGTTGAGAGGAAAGCACCATCCCCTGAGGAGGCGTGACTCACAAGAACTTTCCTCTGGCTCCAAATCCTGCAGGGCCTCTTCTTCGACGATTCCTATGGCTTCTACCCAGGCCAGGTGCTCATTGGCCCTGCCAAGATCTTCTCCAGTGTCCAGTGGCTGTCAGGAGTCAAACCTGTACTCAGCACCAAGAGCAAATTCCGGGTGGTGGTGGAAGAGGTAGGGACTGGTGGCTGGGTGGGAGGTGGGGTTGGACCTTGACCTCCACACCCTGAAACTAAGTGGCTGCCCACCCATCCTTGCCTGCTCTGAGAGTTCAGCTCCCCCCATTGGCCTCTGGACCCTGTTATCTGAAAGGTCTTTGACGATAAGGGAAACCCAGGCTATGGTCATGGCACCGGTGACCGACCCAGACTGAGCAAGGTCGGGGAGTGGTGAGCAGCAGGTCCACTGAGCCCTGACTGGTGGTGAGGAGGTGACAAGGATCCCCGGGTGGAGCTATAGTTACAGGTGGGGTGTTTGTAGTGCTCTGGGGTCTTTGTAGTTGATGCAACACTCTGAAGAACTGCTTCCTGCCTTGGAGGTCAGGTGGGATCTGGGTAGCTGCTTAAAGGGAGCACTTTTGGAACCTCTGACGTGACCCTGTTCCTCCCCCGACCCCAGGTGCAGGTTGTGGAGCTGAAAGTCACATGGATCACCAAGAGCTTCTGTCCCGGGGGCACGGACAGCGTCAGCCCCCCACCCTCTGTCATCACCCAGGAAAACCTAGGCAGGTAAGCTGCTTCAGCATGCCACCCCCTCAGCAACCCCAGGGACAGGCCCTGAGCAACCCTCCGGGTCATAGTCACAGATGTGGGGGCTAAGACCTGCTGGCCCAGCCCCTGCTTCTCCCTCCCCCCCAGGGTGAAGCGTCTTGGATGCTTTGACCATGCTCAGCGGCAGCTCGGGGAGCGCTGTCTGTTTGTCTTCCCAGCCAAGGTAGAGCTGGCCAAGATTGCCTGTGAATGTCCAGAAAAACACTGCGCCCAGGGGGAGGGCTCCATGGCCAAGAAGGTATGTCCTCAGGGCTGGGCTGGTGGGCGTTTAATGAGCTGGCCTTGAGCTGTCCCCAAGGCCAGGAAGGACAGGCTGTGCTTCTGGTCCTGGGGGGTCGTCTGATGGCCCTTGCAGGCCACTTAGGTGTGGATAGCAGTCACCCCCCAGATCAAGCTGCTTGAGGTGGGACCTGCCTGGGTGTCCCGCACCCCAGGGCAGGGCCGTGTCAGCCCTGCTCGCTGCAGCTCCCTCCGTGCTCTGCCCTCGCAGGTGAAGCGCCTGTTGAAGAAGCAGGTGGTGAGGATCATGTCCTGCTCCCCCAACACCCAGTGTTCTAGGGACCACTCCACGGAGGACCCAGGCAAGAAAGGAGGGGCCAAAGCCAAGAGTGAAACGGGGTCCGCCAGCCCTGAGGAGACACCTGATGGGTCCGCCAGCCCAGTGGAGATGCAGGATGAGAGCCCGGAGGAGGCCCTGGAGGCCGGCGAGCAGCTGCCCCCCTTTCTGCTGAAGGAAGGCGGAGATGACAGGCTGCACTCTGCAGAGCAGGACGCCGATGACGAGGCCGCCGACGACACGGACGACACGAGCTCAGTCACCTCCTCTGCCAGCTCCACCACCTCCTCCCAGAGTGGCAGCGGCACAAATCGCAAAAAGAGCATCCCTTTGTCTATCAAGAACCTAAAGCGAAAACACAAGAGGAAGAAGAACAAAATCACCCGTGACTTCAAGCCGGGGGACAGGTACACCCCAAGGGCGCCCTCCCTCCTGGCTAAGTGACCAGCCCGAGACCATCCCCGTAGCCCCGCACACACATGCAACCCTGTAGGGCTCGGGGTACCCAGCTGAGACCATGTAGGTGCCTGGGGTTGGCCCAGGTGGAAAGGCAAGATCTGGGAGTAAGACGGGGATGGCGACCTTGACCCTGGGAGTCTGGCCGCTGGGACCACAGTCATGTGCGCTCTCCCAGCCAGGGTGTGGGGACCAGGTGAGCTCCCGCTGGCCCATTGTCTTCCTTCTCATCTCAGATGGAGTTTCAGGCCCCCAAGCCCACAGGGAGGGAGTGTAGAATGCACCTGCCCTTTCCTCCAGAAAGCCTTTTGCATGGCCTGGCTCATGGTCCCATTCTGCAGGGTGGCGGTGGAGGTGGTGACCACGATGACCTCGGCAGATGTGATGTGGCAGGACGGCTCTGTGGAGTGCAACATCCGCTCCAACGACCTCTTCCCAGTGCACCACCTGGACAACAATGAGTTCTGCCCTGGGGACTTCGTGGTGGACAAGCGAGGTAGTGCCAGCTCCAGAGGGCCACTGCTGCCCAGGACCTGGGCGGGCCTGGGAACCGGGCAGGAGGTCTTAGGGTCAGGAGATGCCCCTTTGAAGGTGGCTTGCTCTTCTGAGGGGAGGGGGGAGCTTTTCTGGCTCCTGCTGACCTCGCCAAGGGGCACGTGGGCTCTGCGTCCTGCTATGCCTGATGCATGGTGGGTGGATGGGTCGCAGGGGGCGCCACCAGGGCTCCTGAGTCCTGTGCTCTCTGGGTCCCTAGTCCAGAGCTGTCCAGACCCCGCTGTCTACGGTGTGGTGCAGTCTGGGGATCACGTGGGCCGCACCTGTGTGGTGAAGTGGTTCAAATTGCGGCCGAGTGGGGACGACGTGGAGGTGAGTGCAGCTCCCGTCCTGTGGGGTGGGCTCTCAGGCTGGGCATGGCCTGGCGCATGACAGCCCCTCCTGTGCCCCCAATCAGCTGCTCGGAGAGGAGGAAGATGTGAGTGTTTATGACATTGCTGACCACCCTGACTTCCGGTTCCGCACAACGGACATCGTCATCCGCATCGGCAATGCTGAGGATGGGGCTCCTCACAAGGAGGACGAGGTATGCCCCCCAAGTTCAAGTGCCGTCGCTGCTCCCTGCCTGTGCAACAGCTGCAGCACCTGGTGGAGCCACCAGGTGGCTCCAGGAGACCAGACCTGCAAGGTCTCTGGCTCATCCCAAGCTGCCAGGCAGCCTGACCACCTGCACCAGGGGTACTGCCTGCCTGCTGGGGTCAGACTCACACACACCGCTGCTCCCCGGGCCCCACAGATGGTGGTTACTAGGGAAGCCCTCCTGACCTAGCGCTGTGGGCGTGATGTGAAGTGCTGTGGGAACACAGGCCAGGCCGGGAGGGAGCACCTGAGCTGGGCCTTGGAGAACCCGTGGGAATGTGTGTGGTCAGGCAGATACCAGCAGCGGAAGAATAGGTACAGAAGCCCCAAGGCTGGAACCCCACCTGGGAGCGACAGGAAGCCCAGAGGGACCAGAATGTGCAAGAGAAAGGGCGGTAGTGTCATTGTGTACTCGGCACCAGGTAGAGTGGGAGCTCAGTGGACAGGGCACATTGGAGGTGTTTGAACAAGAGGGTCCTGTGCTTGGGTTCCTCACTGTGGCTTCCTCCGACTGATGCCCACATCCCTCCTAGTTTTCTGCCTCACCCTTGCCACCCTCTTCTGGCACTCCCTTTCAGAGGCAATCTGGCCTCACCCCTCCTGTAGGGCTGCACCCTTGACCCTGTCCTGTTTGCCCAGCAGCCGTCCGTTGGCCAGGTGGCCCGTGTGGACGTCAGCAGCAAGGTGGAGGTGGTGTGGGCTGACAACTCAAAGACCATCATCCTGCCCCAGGTAAGGCCCTGCCTAGACCCAGGCCACTCAGCTGTGGCAGCAGGACTGGAAGCCACAGCCTGCCTCCTTTCTCCTCTCAGGGAACAGGAGAACAGGCTCCAAATCTTCTTGATGAAGGGTTTTCTTTGCTCTAATAGAGCCTTAGGAAAGCTCGAGAGGAAGGGCGCCGTTACTCACCAAGCTCCGTAGCCTCGTCCCAGCCCGCAGCCTCCCCAGGCTGCCAGGTGCATGTAGATTTCACAGACCTCCCAGGTTTGCCTGGTTCCCCATCTCACTGTGCTGAGGAAATGCAGGTTATTTCCTGTGGGCAGTAGAGCCTCCGACCTTTCTAGGAAAACCTTCACAAAGCAGTAAGGAGGGAGAACTGGCTCCAGCCCCTGCTGGTGGGTCCTGAGCCGCAGGGTTATTCTCAGTACCGTTCCTTCCTCTCCTTGTTCGAGCCATCCTTAGGCCCCAGCTCTCCCCTCTGGCGCCCATATGGGGTGGGGCAAGGGAATGGCTTACCCCTCCTTCAGGGATGGGGAACACATGTGACCCAGGCCAGCTGTCCCATGTCTCCTCCGTCTCTGGCATATTCTCAGTTCCCAGGGTAGCCCCCCTCTGATCTGAGTTCTCTGGGAGTAGGGCTGGATTTGCCCCAAAGGGCAGAGGCTGACTGAGTGCTCACACAGGGAGGAGAAGCCTATTCGCTGGCACTCTGGGTGCTGTTGCTGGATGGAGCAGGTGAAGGCACCTTCCAGAGACATAGGTACCATCTAGCACAGAGGAGCTACCTGCAGAGTCCAGAGTAGGAAAGGGGGAAGGGCCGAGCAGGGCTGCCAGGCCTCTGGTTTCTGAGGGTCGGGGTCCCAGAGCCAGGCAGAGCTCTTCTGAGTTGCCCATGCCCGTCTTCCCCCAGCACTTGTACAACATCGAGTCTGAGATCGAGGAGTCTGACTACGACTCAGTAGAAGGCAGCACCAGTGGAGCATCCTCTGATGAGTGGGAGGATGACAGTGACAGCTGGGAGACAGACAATGGGCTGGTAGAGGATGAGCATCCCAAGATAGAGGAGCCCCCCATCCCACCCACTGAACAGCCGGTGGTCCCCGAGGAGGACAAGGGCGTGGTGATCAGCGAAGAGGCTGCCACGGCTGCCATTCAGGGGGCTGTGGCCATGGCCGCCCCAGTGGCTGGACTGATGGAGAAGGCTGGCAAGGATGGGCCCCCGAAGAGCTTCCGGGAGCTGAAGGAGGCCATCAAGATCCTGGAGAGCCTCAAGAACATGACCGTGGAGCAGCTTCTCACAGGCTCGCCTACCTCCCCTACGGTGGAGCCCGAGAAACCGACTCGGGAGAAAAAGTTTTTGGATGACATCAAGAAGCTACAGGAAAACCTCAAGAAGACCCTAGACAACGTGGCCATCGCCGAGGAGGAGAAGATGGAGGCTACGCCAGACACAGAGCGCAAGGAGGACAAGCCTGAGGCACAGTCTCCTGTGAAGGCTGAGTGGCCCAGCGAGACCCCGGTGCTCTGCCAGCAGTGCGGCGGCAAGCCCGGCGTCACCTTCACCAGTGCCAAGGGCGAGGTCTTCTCTGTACTGGAGTTCGCGCCCTGTGAGTTCGCCCCTTTTATGTTTACAGATCTGGGGGCAAAGCCCTGTCCCCATCCAGCCCCACTGCTGCTCGAGGGTCCAGGGTGGGGGACAGACAGTTCCCTGGTGTGGTCATCTCTCTGGGGAGCACACCCAGCAACTGCTCCCTCTCGGCCAAGCTTCCCAAGGGCGGCGGCTCCTTTCTAGATGGAGCTCTCAGGGCCTCGCCGTTTGGGATTGAGCATTCTCTTTGCCCCTCTAGCAAATCATTCTTTTAAGAAGATTGAGTTCCAGCCTCCAGAAGCCAAGAAGTTCTTCAGCACAGTGCGGAAGGAGATGGCCCTGCTGGCCACCTCGCTGCCCGATGGCATCATGGTCAAGACCTTTGAGGATAGAATGGTAAGTAGCTGGCGTGGGCGGGTGCAGATGGGCTGTGTGGGCACTGCCAGCCTCGGGCCCCTGACCTTCAGGCCTGATGGCACCTGAGAGGCCACCCACACCTCTGATAAGGCAGGAAATAGTCTCGGCCAAGGGAGGGGCAAAGTCCAACACCTGGGTCTAGACCAGCTGGCCCATTCTTTCCTCCCTCTGCTTTAGAGTTAGTTTTAAATTATATAATTATTGCTTGAGTCCAGTCTTCTTTTTGAAAAATCAGAACATTGCAGAAAAGGCTGAAGTTGCCTTTGACCAATCCCCACCCCACCCTCAGGGGTCCCGACTTGAGTTTGGTGCATCTTTTACGACGTTTTTATATCTTTACATTGTCATGCATCGTCATAAACACCTGCTATTTGGTGTGATTTGTTTACATAAATAGCATATCCCTGTACGCATCACCTGTAATTTTCTTTTTTCGCTCAGCAGGGTAACTTCGAGACCCGCCCAGGTTGGTTCATATTGGTCTAGTCCATTCTTTTTAGCTGCAGAATAGCCCTCCTCATGTGGCAACATCACACGCCTCTCCTCCCCTCTCCTGTCCTGCTGGCCGGGTTTGAGTCATGCAGCCCGAAGCAGGGTCAGTGCTTCCTTGTTAGTTCTAGGAATGGGCACAGCCCTTCCACCTTCCACCTTATTTATTCAGCAGACCTCAGCTGGGCCTCTCTGTGTGCCAGGCACCCTGCAAGACACTGAGCTAGAGTCTGACCGAGGTCCCAGCTCCAGCACAAAGAAGAGACCATGGAGGGGTGCTGTTAGGTGGCCCTAGCAGCTGCGGATTACGGGGCAGGGTTGGGAGCTCGTGTGGGCCATGGCTTGGGGCTCTTAATACTTTTGGTTTTTTTTGGGTTTTAGTAAAAGTCTTTTTGAAAATACCAGCCTGTTTCAGCCCTGCTGAGGGACAAAGGGAATAGTATTTTTTGTTTTCTATTTTTTTTCCAAAATCTCCCTCAGAGAGAAAGGGAAGCAGGGCAGGAACCCGAGGCCCATGATGGCCCCCTGAGAACATAGAGGAGAGCATTACATCATTCACCCAGCCCTGGCTGTTGGTGCCCCACCTCCCCACCCGACACACAGGTTTCCGGTGTTGGTGGAGAGTCTCCCTGATGACTTAACGACCAGAGTTTCTGTGTTGGTCTCCCAGCATTTCCTCCTGGGGTTCCGATCCTCTGGTTCCCTGAAAGCAGGAGCAGCCCTGCCGCCCTGGAACATTCTGTCATCGTCTGATTGGGTGTAACTTTCTTGCCTTGTTAGGGCTGGAGTCAGAGCAGGTGTTTTGAGGAATACAACTTAAAAATAATGATTTATGAGAAGTAAAACCTGGTAGGATAAAAACCAGTTTGGAAAATTCCTTTTATTCTGGGAGTTAAAAGATGCCAAGTGGGCCTGTACAGAGAGGTATGCATTTAGCTTCTCAGCTGCTGGCAGTGTGTGAAGTTGCAGGGGCTGCTCCTCTGCCCAAGGCACCTGGGAAGGCGCAAAACCAGATCCCGAGTGCGGAAGCCCCGCCAACCACAGCCTCCCCTCCTCCAGGACCTCTTCTCAGCCCTGATCAAGGGCCCCACTCGCACCCCCTATGAGGATGGCCTCTACCTGTTTGACATCCAGCTTCCCAACATCTACCCGGCTGTGCCCCCCCACTTTTGCTACCTCTCCCAGTGCAGTGGCCGCCTGAACCCCAACCTGTATGACAACGGGAAGGTGTGTGTCAGCCTCCTGGGCACCTGGATTGGAAAAGTGAGTACCATGCCGGCACCCAGTCGGGATGGGGGCAGCCCATTGGGGGCGGTATTAGGGGCAGAGTTGATGGTGCTGTGTGTGTTTCAGGGGACAGAGAGGTGGACAAGCAAATCCAGCCTTCTCCAGGTGCTCATCTCCATCCAAGGTACAATGGGTGGGGCTGAGAGGCGGGGACAGGAGGGCTGGCCTTTGTGTCCCCTCCCCTGCCTGTAGGACTGACAGTTCCCTTAGGGGCTGAGGTCAGGCCGGTCCTGATGGGCTTCTCCCTGGCAGGCCTGATCCTGGTGAACGAACCGTACTACAACGAAGCGGGCTTTGACAGTGACCGGGGCCTGCAGGAGGGCTACGAGAACAGCCGCTGCTACAACGAGATGGCGTTGATCCGCGTGGTGCAGTCCATGACCCAGCTGGTGCGGCGGCCCGCCGAGGTCTTTGAGCAGGAGATCCGGCAGCACTTCAGCTCTGGCGGCTGGCGGCTGGTGAACCGCATCGAGTCCTGGCTGGAAACGCATGCCCTGCTGGAGAAGGCCCAGGCACTGCCCAACGGCGTCTCCAAGGACAGCAGCTCTGCAGGGCTGCCTGCTGCGGCCGAGCTCTCAGACAGCGGCCGGGAGGAACCTGAGGATGGCGGGCTGGCCCCTGGAGAGGCCTCCCAGGGCTCAGACTCAGAGGGCGGTGCCCAGGGCCCAGCCACAGGCAGCAGGGACCACACAGACCAGACCTTGGAGGCAGCGCCAGACGCCTCGGTGCCACCCAGTGTCAAACCAAAGAAGCGGAGAAAGAGCTACCGGAGCTTCTTGCCTGAGAAGAGTGGCTACCCTGACATCGGCTTTCCCCTCTTTCCACTCTCTAAGGGGTTCATCAAGAGCATCCGGGGGGTCCTGGCACAGTTCCGGGCTGCTCTGGTCGAGGCCGGCATGCCTGAGAGCACAGACAAGTAGCTGCAGCCCTTTAGGAAGGAGGAGTGGTGGAGAGGCCAGCTGCTGCCTGCTCACTCCCTCCCCTGAACCTTCCCTTCTCCCCTTCTCTGTCCCCAGTGCAAGCCCCCCACTGCCCTCTTCCCAAGGTGAGTTTGATGCTGACGTGCAAGAAGTTTCTTGAAATGCTGCCATTTCTATTCCGAAGCAATCTTTCAACAGGCGAGTCCCCCATGCAAAGCAGATCTAAACCCTGTTGCAGACTTTCCACTCGTCACCCCAGGCGGAATGTCCCAGCACTTGTCCCCTTGCCATCTCCGTCTCTTGATCAAAGGTGGAGTTTTCTGAGGACCTGGCTCCAGGGCTCCAGGGCCTTGGGCCCAGAGCTGTGCAGAGCAACGGGAAGACGAGTGGCCATGCCTTGCATGAAGTGTGGGTTGCTCCAGCCATTCCCCTGGTCCCTGTCATCCTCTTCAGTGCCATTGTAGCTTCCCCATGTCCCAGGCCACTGCCACCAGGTCCTCCCTCTTCCTCCAGCATCAACACTCTCGCTTGGGAGTTGTAGCCACTGTCACCGACTCCTGGTTCTGTTCTGGTCCCTTTACCACAGAATAGCCCTCAGGCCTGTTGAACTTGCTAAGAGACCAGGCTGGGTTCGGGGGGATACCCAGAAGAGGTGGTGGCCCTCACGTGCTCACAGGCAGTGAGGACTGTGGAGCTGCTGGGAAAGAAACAGCTGTAGGTGCCTTGCTTCCTCCCCTGTGTGGCTGTGGGCGGGCAGTCCTGGCTTCGGGGCCTCGCCTGCTTGAACTGAAGCCAGTGTCTTATCCCCACTCAGTCCCGTCCCAGGACCCCCTAGGCAGGAGCAGCAGCACATCCAGGGCCTGGGCACGTGCTGGGGCCTCTCCCATGGACTCTGCCCCTCCCGCTATCAAGTGTTCATGCTGGGAGGTGGCCTATAGCTCGAAACATGGAGCCAGCCCTCTCCCATGAGAATGAGGCCTCCTGTCAGCCCTTTGCTTACACACTCTGCAGGCTCAGCCTGGGGAGAGGGGTGGCCAGGGTGGGTCTTCTCCCTCGCGGAGATGGGCCCATTGGTTTACACGTTTTCTAAGCTTTTGATAATGTGAAGCTCCAGGTTAAGAGATGCTGTTGAGCACATAGCAGGTATGTAATTTTCGGTGTATGTATGTAATATTTAAGGTTGAAAGAAAATAAATTTCAAAAGCAAAGATATTAACTCTTATTAGAAAAACAAACAGAAGCCAAAGCATGACACGTCTTGTCCGCCTTAAGCTGGCTCCTCGCCTGAGCTGTGCCATTCCCACCCAGCGGGCAGCGGCCACGGGAAGGACGGAGCCGGACCCCGGGCTGCGGCGCCTAGGGCCCAGGGTCTCCCGTGAGAAACATCCCGAGTGGCTGGCGGGCTGTGCTTCCCAGTGCGTTGTTCATGTGGAGATGTGAATGCCTGCTGCTTAAGATATCTGTATAAAGTGCCGTGATTAAACCTTTTTTTTACTTGCATTTTTTTTGTTTGTTTGGCTCATTACAATGTACAAAAAAGACATGGTGGCACCATTAAACATGCCTCTGCCATTCACCTGGGCTCCGTCGCCTTTCTTCCCCTCTGAGCACCTCACACCCTCCCCAGGGAAGGGAGAGACCCCTCACTGTTGGTGGGAAGGCCCCTGGCAGCAGTGCTGGTGCCCTACCCCTGGTCCCCCGGAGTCACGGGCCAGAGATGGGACCTCAGGTTTCGGAGGTCAGTGCTCCTGCCTCTGGGCAGGACTATGTTTGTTTTTCAAGAGCCAGTTTTTAGCAGCATTGGCCACCTCCCAGATGCTGGGGGAGCTGACATCGAAGCACCTGACTGGGCTATGAGCCAAAGCTGGAAGATTGGCATCTGCCCCTCCTTGCTGCCTCCTTTTAACTGTTGCCCAACAGCGCCCACAAGGATGGGGTAGGGTAGGGCAGAGGCTGGCACAGCACTAGGGACCTCAGTGGAGGAAGAAGGGAACAGGTGCCTGCTGCTTTGGCTTCTGTTGCTCCCTGTTTCCTCAATGCCCCTTACTTGAGGCCTTTTCCCTTTCTGCTGAGACCAGCTGTGTAGTCCTAGGTAAGAAAGACATGCTAGGTCTGAGCCTGGCTTCCCATGTGTGGGGTGAATTGGGTGGCTGAGCTCCCTGGCCACTTCTAGGCCAAAGGGGGTATATTCAGCTTTGGGGCAGGGCCTTACTCCCTGTAAAAGATGCCTGGACCAGCTCTGGTCCTGTGCCCACCACCGCAATGACTGCCCAATCCAGGAGGCACCACTAGGCATCGTTAACCTTCATCACTAGAGCCTGGCAGAAGCAAGACCCCACTCTCTCCCCAGCCCCTAGGATAAGACCAGTAGACTGGGAATGTCACTTTATTTGGATTTCATTAATAGGGTGGGGCTCCCAGAACAATGGGGTGGTTTCCACAGACAGTGGGGCCCAACCAGCTGGGCTCCTGGCCCATGGCCTCACTCTGGCCTTTGGTGGGCAGAGCAGGTCCTTCCAAAGCACAGCCTCTACCCACAGGCCAGGTCTTCATCCCTATGGGAGCTGGGACAGGCAGACAGTCCTGGGGGAAGGAGGGAGGGTCCTGAGCTCAGATTACACTAAGCAGACAGAGTAAGGCACAGCAAGGCCCAAGGAGTCACAAGGGATCTTCTGGAGGTGGCGTCTGCTGAGACTTCCGGCTGGGGGGCGGCAGCTGTGGCCCCATAGGGGATGAAGGCTCCATGCGGTCACTGACCATCCAGAAGTAGTTTGGGTGCACCTGGCCCTGCACAGCCTCACTGACCATCAACTCCCCGTCCACAGCAAACATCCCTTTCCCATCCTTGGGCTCCAGGCGGAAGGCAACCACAGGCACATACACCAAGTAGGGACAGTCACACTCCATGTGCCTGCCCTTCTCCATGGCCAGGAAGAGGCGCAGCAGCATGGCCCGAGACACGCCCGCCCGCACGTAGAACAGATGCATGGCGCCAGCCGCACGGTGGCCCATGGGTGCAGCAAACATCTCGCTGCCCAGGTGTGAGTGCAGCAGCGCCAGCACCAGCACAAAGTCCTGCTCTGGCACCACAGTCCAGTGAGCGGGCACTGGCTCCTCCAGGGGCACGAGGTGGGCGTCCACAGGGCCCTGCCGGTCCCGCCGGTCCAGAGCAGGGGAGGCGGGCACCTTGGAGACCACCCGTTCGGCGGGGAGGTAGGCCAGGCGGCCCTGGTAGACCCGCAGCGCTGCCAGGCGCAGGATGGTGCCCAGAGTGAAGCGCATCTCCCCCAGGCGCCGGAACTTCTCACTCTCGATGTCCACATCAGCAATGAAGCCCCAGGCCAGGCTGAGCACGGAGAAGACCCGCAGCCCGGAGACCATCTGCAGCGACAGCAGGTTCATGGGAGCCAGGCGCCGGCGGCACAGCAGAAGCGTGCAGTTGTTCAGGAGGTCTTCGTTAGTCACCTGCTGGTAGCTGTGG